GCGGTTGTTAGTTGCTTTACTGGCTTAAGCTTCGGCATGTTGTCTTAGGGCTTGGAAAGCAAATGGTTTGCAGGCTGGAGCAGGCTATGCATATGAACCTTTAAGGCTTATTCTTTATGTTTTTGATTGATTCGCTAAATTTCCAAACAAAGGGGAAGTGACTGAAAAACCGGCATTAAATCGCAAGGGAGAATGTCTAGTGATCACGCGAGCACTCACTCCACAGCTAGTCACCAGATTACCAGTTAACCACCTAAGCGAAATAATTCATTTTCGGTGTTCTGAATCGCAACCACTAGTTGGAACCTTCTGCATTATAAAATCTATCGCTGTAAGTACTGATGTGCATTTTAGCAGTGCAACTAAGCTGATGATAAAATAAGTTAGAGCTTCGTCCGCATAGCGGCAAAAACGCTCGTTCCAATAGGATGCAGGTTGTGCGCCCACTTCAAGCTTAGAAGAAGGCAATCTGAATCTTAGCTAATACAGCGATTAACGATCTCGCATGAATCAATACCAATCAATCAATTATCCGTGCTGACTTAGGCGTATGTTTCATAGATAAAAGTAGGTAATAAAATCTTCCTAGTAATAAAAATATTACTGAGTTATTGTGAATTGCAAAAGAGGTATGAAAGGCACCAATCACCATGCGGGCAGGCACGATCATTTCGTCAGCAGATAAGGCCAGCAAAGATTGCGAGAAAACAGCGAGCAGTAGCTGAACATTGTGTCAGCAGACACCAAGAAGTCAGCGCGAACACCAGCTGTGCAGTCAGTAGACCTTTAAATACCAGCGAGCTCATCTGCATGAGCGGGCTACGAGGAAGCAGCAGAGCCAAAGATCATTCTGTCAGCGAACACCGAGGAATCAAAATTTGACATCGCTTATGCAGTCAACGGACACAAAGAATCGCGAGCGAGCAAAGAGTCAGCGTCGATCACAATCACGAAGCTCCCTTCGCAGAAAAGCGTGTTTTTGGTGGTTTCATGCTGAATTAAGAGAACTTTTTTCTGATAACGTTGTAAAAATTCAGTAAATTCATTTGTTACATGAACAGTGTGAACCTCTCCGAAAGAGTTGAAGCACTATTAGATAATAATTAGAAAGGAAGAAAAGATTACCTCGTACAAACAATCGACTCCAAGAGCACCTTCAATCCCAGCAGCTTTTGCATTAAATTGCTCTGGTAGCTCATTGGGTGGAATTCGCTCCGCACCCTGCCTCCAAACTAAAAATTTGTCGTATAAATATTTCTGGTTGCATGCAAAGTGCGCTACAGCTACATTGTATTATCACGTCAGTTATAGAAGCTACAATAAATAAGTTAAGAACTCATCCAAATGCTCAATAGTTAAAGAATGGGATAACAAAAAAGAGAATAGAACTAATGATTTAGCTATAATGATGAGGAAGAAAAGAACAGACATACAAGAGATCCTCTCTGTAGCATGACCCAGGGAGTTGTTACTAAGTTAGTTCGAAAAGATTCGAAAATAAAAAATCTACCAATATTCGTTCTTCCACCAATACTTTTACTTTTGTTAATAATAACACGATGCGATGCAAATGGTTTATGCAAGGGAACTATATTAAATGCCAGGGGAACTCAATGATTACAACTCATGCAGAACATTAAGCGTGCAATAAGGAAAGAGGGACCAAAATGCACTCACTGAAATCCACGAGTTGATCTCTGCTTTGAATAATTTTCGCATTTGATAAGTACGGATCAACCTTCCTTTCACAAAGCGATGGACGAGCAATCACACATGTTTCTGCAGATGCCGACTTCTTCTTCAGTCGAGGAGCTTTTTGTGAGTCTTCCAATCCCTTGTAAATCGGCATTTGCTCGGAAACAGGAATAAATTTTGGAAAAAGCGGCTTTGGTCCATCGTTTTCGCGAGTATCTCGAGCCATTGTAGACCCAGCGACAAAAGGCACCAGCGGAGGATTAGGGCAGTTAGGCTCATTTTGCATAATTGATGGAGCACGCCCAAGCAGAGGTTGTCGAAATGATTCCTGTGGTGGATTATGAAAACTACTAGAACTGGGTCTCAACTGCGGACTGACCAACTGTGGTTCTGGAAGACTCACATAAGGGCTGGGGCCGTTCCTTGGAAAAAATTGGCCTATTACTGCTGGAGGCCTTTCCTGCATAGCAGCTCGTTCTTGGAGTTCACGCATTTTGTTTTCTAGCTCCTGCTTCTCCATTAAAAGGCGACGCTGCGCCGCTTCCTTCTCCTGAAGAGCCCTTAATCTGGCCTTTTCGCGATCCAAAAGTGATCGAAGGTGTTCTTGACGTATTTGGCGATCAGCCTCTTCCTGGGCTTGTTCCTTTGCTTCTTTAGCTTTCCTCTCTTCTTCTGCCTTACGCGCTGCTTCC